CAAAATGGCATGAACCTTCCCCGGATCCATTTCTATGCCATCATGTGAGATGCGATAACCTAAATAGTCAATTTTTTCCTGGTGGAATTTACACTTGGACAACTTTGCATACAGCTCAGCAGCTCGAAGTTTTTCCAGAACTGACCGCACTAGTTTCACATGTTCATCACGAGTCTCTGTGTAGATAAGAATATCATCAAGATAAACCAACACCCCTTGTTCATGTAACACCTAACTAATCATTTGCATGAATACTGCAGGGCCCCCTGTAGGGCAAATGGAAGAATGTTGAATTGGAAACAACCCATTGGGCAGTTAAAAGCAGTTTTCCATTCATCCCCTTCCTTAATTCGAACCCGGTAGTGTGCTTCTCTCGAGTTTTGTAAAAATTTTCCCTTTGGCCAAGTGGGCCAACATATCCTTCATCAAGGGGGGGGGGGGGGTACACGTTCTCCCCTGAAATAGCATTCAGGTTTCTATAGTCAACACATAAACGAAGGGAGCCATCTTTCCTTTCACGGAAAAATACTGGGGCTGCTACCCAGGGTCTAGCAGGTTGGATGAAACCATGTTCCAAATTCTTATCGATAAATGACTGCAGCTCTTATAGCTCCCGTGGTGTCGAGTACAGTTTCGGTTTTGGGAGTTTCACCCTGGGTAGAATTTCAATATTGCAATCTGTTGAACGATGGGGGGGAAGCTCATCCGAGGCCTTTTCACTGAATACCTCCTTTAAGTCCCAATATTCCTCCAGAATTTTCTCCTCCCCCTTCAGGTTCTCGGTGCCAGTGGAGGTCAGTTCAATGGGATTCTTGAGTTTTGGTTGAGATTGCCCCTCCCCTTCTGGGCACTGGTCAGTACGTATGCGCAATGACCCTCTCCTCAAAACAATGTGGGGGTTCCATTTCCGAAGCCAGGGCAACCCCAGTATTAGGGGCCGCTCCATCCCAGGAGCCACAATAAAACACAAAGTCTCTCTATGCTTCCCCATCGTCATTTCTATTGGTTCCATTATGAAATGTGCAGGGCCACCCCCAGCTACCGATCCATCCAATTGGCAAAAGGCTATGGGTGTTTTTAAAGTCTTCAGCCTTAAGCCCATTTTCTCCACTACCTCTGAGCTGATTACACACCCAGAGTCTAACAAGGCCAGCATTTCCCATTTGGCTCCCGATGTGGGTACCCTTAATCTCACTGGAATGGTCATAGGGCCCTTGTTTGGACTTACCAGTGAGTCGTCTTCCGATTCGGATTCACTCTCTTCAGAAGAGGTTGGAATTCCCAGCTCCTCTCCTTTCGGAGGGGCGATCTCTACAACTTCCTCTGCTTTAAGCGCCGTTTCGCGAGGCTTTGCTGGGTTTTTTCAGGTTTTCTTCCTCCTCCTGGCACCCCCTTTGGTTCTAGCTTGGCACAGCAATCTGCAGCCCGGCGACCTTCCTTCCCACATCGGAAGCAAGCAGTGGTCTTGGGTTTTGCTGCCATTCCTCCCTTTTGAGGTTTTAAGGCTTCTTGGGGGCTGGTGGGGGAGGATTTGCTCCAACCAAAACCCCCTCAGCATCTGTTTCGGGTCAGATCAATTTCCACCTCTGCCGTCAGCACGTACCACAGCTGCAGCTCACTGCGGTCTCTTCTGGCAATACAGCTTTGATATACATCTTCATTCAACCCATCTTTAAAAGCTTCTATCAGGGCTACCTGGGACCAGCCTCGAATGTGACACGCCAGCTCTCTAAATTCCTGGGTGTAGTCGGCCACTGATCTCCGCCCCTGATTTATGGTCTTCATCCTAATTCTGGCCTTATGTTCAGCAAGTGGGTCTTCAAACCTGGCCTGCAGCGCAGTCATGAACAGGTCATAATTCATCAGCTGAGGGGCATTATCATTATGCAAAGTCACCATCCACTTTGCAGCTGTTCCCCCCAGAGCCCTGGTAACACATCTAACTTTGGCTGCTTCTGAGGAAACATCCCCTCCATATTCCTCCATATGGCTCCAGACTTGTGCCAGGAAGAATCCTAACTCCTTGAGATCCCCCCCATATTTTACTTCCAACGGAGGCACCTTTGGAGTTCTATGTCTTCTGGCAATTGCTCCTCCCGCTGGGGGCCCCGGGCTGCTGCTGCCTGTTGCGCTAGCCCAGGTTGATTTATGGGGGTGGCTGCTCTGATTCTTCTGGCTGGGCCTGCCTCCCCCTCCTCTCCCTCATACCTTTGATCAGTTTGAGGTTCTCCGATAACTTCATTTAGAAGATGCATGGCTTGAGTTAGTAAAAAATTCTTTCTTTCCTTCTCTTGCCATGGTTCTTCTCTTTCATGCTGATGGGTAGTGGTCACTTCTGGAGGAGGCTTTTCCTCAGGATCCTTCCAACCGATTCTCAGGGACCATTTGGGTTTTACAGCTGGTTTTTCCCCAAGATTTAGTTCTGCTAACAAGTCGGCTTCCCCTGCTTCCTCTAGCAGCAGAGAATCTTGTCCTCCAGTTGTTCCCAGGTCTTCTTGGTTGCTGGCTGGATTTGACATTGTGTTCAGATCCCCTCGGAAGAAAATTTATTAATTCTCCGGGTGGGCTGGTAATGTGGAGATTCAGAATAATGTCAGCTGGTGCTCCATTAAAAATCCAAGAGAGAAATACTTAGACTCTTTTAATCAGAGAAAAGATATCTTTTATTGGAAATCAAGTGGTAGCAACAAAAGAATTCTGAATCTGAGAAAATGGGCGCGTAAATCACATATACAAAGTAATGCCAACATTCCCACCCCCAATAGTTCAATTGGCTCATCCAATTAAAAGTTGTGTATATCTTCATGTGGGCATTTCCAGGTGGTGATGAGGCTTCTGTCCGTTGACCTTGACATAGTTTGATAAAGGGTTGCAGCTGCGCATAGCATTGGATAGAAACCTAAACTAGAATGTACCACTCCCCCCCCCCCAGTTTATACAGTTCTGGTTTGTAACACCTCCAGCTCACTTCCCATAATCATTCCCCCCTTCCTCCCCCCGTTACTTATGACAGCAGAAAGATGCAAAGCAAAGGGAGAATTGTTAAGTCTGAGATGTTAGGTGACAGGTGCTTTTCTGTTTGAATTCTAAAAAGCACCTGTCACCTAACATCTCAGACTTAACAATTGTTAAGAAAGACAAAGTCTGGATAGTGGCATTGCAGTACCTGGAGATAACAGAAGAGTTGAGAAAGAACTGGAGAAAATTACAAAATACAAAGACTTGCAAATAGAAGTAGAATGACTATTGGAAAAGGAAGCAAAGACAATGCCAATAATAATAGGTGCCTGGAATGCAATCCCAAAACATTACAGAATCACCATCAGTCAATTTCCAAACGCAGCTCTACTTGCAACAGTTTACACACCCTGCAATGACATCCTTTGTTGCTGTTGTTGTTGTTCAGTTGTTGTGTCTGACTTTTCACAGCCCTATGGACCATAGCATGCCAGGCACTGTCTCCTGACTAATTTCATACACAAGCAGGGGTGGGATTCTACTGGTTCTGTCCGGCTCTACAGAACTGGTATCTCTGAAGAGCAGCAGACACAGAACTGGTTTTGGCCCACCCGCCTGCCTGGGCTCTTACCTGTCCTTTATTTCCTGCTTTTTCAACCGTAGCTGCTTTGCGCGGCACAGCTGCACTTGAAAAAGCAAAGAAAATGGGCTTTTCCAACCGCTGTGCACCTGCATGCAGCGCTTTTCAGCTGTCCGGGCAGCTCAGCAGGCTGTAAATTGCACTTGCGTGACACACAGCAACAGAACCGGTAGTTATACTGGTCGGATCCCCATCCCTGTACACAAGGATGGTTGAGCTGTGAGGGTTCGACTATCAGCCAGTTTGCTCAAATTCCTTTCATTGAGTTGATGACACCATCTAATCATCTCATCCTCCGCTGCTGTCCCCTTCCTCTTTTACCTTCAAACTTTCTTGACTTCAGGGTCTTTCCTACCTCTTCTCATTAGATGGCCAAAGTCTTTGAACTTCAGATGCAGTTTCTGTCCTTCCAAAGGACACCGGGGGTTGACTTCCTTTAGGATTGACTGATCTCCTTGCAGCCTGAGGGACTCTGAAGTGTGTTCTCCAACACTACAGTTTGAAAGCATCAATTCTTCCAAGCTCAGCCTTCCTTGTGGTCCAACTCTCATAGCCATACATTACTGTTGGGAAAACCATAGTTTTGACTACGTCAGATAAGAACATCTGTCTATCCGAAATCCTTGGGAAGGACTTGATAGGCAGATATAAATGACACCTTCAGGCTTAACATCTGGCTGACTGAATGACGAACCATAATAATAGTATAACAAGCCCACCCATCCTTGTGTATGAATTAGCCCCGCCCCCCCCCCCCCGCCCCACTCCACGCCTTCTTGTTTGTTCCTATAGCCACCTACTATCAATGGGGACTTTCCTGTTGAAATAATACACCCCTCTCCTCTTTCCTTAAAACAGCAGGCGTTGCTTCCCTCCCAGCCGAGAAGCCTCCCATTCAATCCGCGCTATGCCAAAGTGGGAGAGGGTGGGACACCTCAGCCAAGCGCGCCTGACCCGCCTCCGCAAGAAGCGGCGGCGGCGTCTTGCTAAGGAAGGCGGGCAAGGCCAAGGCTGCCTGATCCTACCTCGGCTAGCCGGCCATTGGGCGCTTTTTATCCCTTCCCCCCATCACGCAACGCCAGGGTAGTGCAAGTATTGAGCTCCGGCACTGTCACTTAGCAGCCGCCGGGCCCCGCCTCGGTCGGTCAGCGGTGTATCTGTCTGTCTGTGTGTGCGTGTGTGTGTGTGCGTGCGTGTTTGTGGGGGGGGGGGGGGTGTCAATCGGTCCCGCCTCTTCTCGATCGATTGGGGCCGGAGCTGCTTCGGGATTGGTCAAGGAAGCCGTCATTTGCCCGGCCGAGTTTTGCTGCTCTCTTCTTGTCACGCCGCCGCCGCCGCCGCCGCCACTCGGGGTTGGGCCGTTTTTGCGCGCTGTGGCTGCCCTCCTCCTCCTCCTCATCCTGCTGCTGCTGCTGCTGCTGCTTTCGATGTTCTGAGGCAGGAGGGAGGGGAGAGGTGGCGGCCGCTGGAGCTTCTCCCGTTTCCTTTCTCTCTCTCTCTTCTCTCTCTCTCTCCCTCTTCTATCATCTTGGCTCGGGGGTGGGGTGGGGTGGGGGAGCGCCTTCTCCGCCATGGCCACCAGCACCACAGGCTCCACGCTGCTGCAGCCTCTCAGCAACGCCTTTCGGCTACCCATAGACCAGGTGAGGAGCCCGGCCGCGCGCAGGGAAAGCAGCTCCTTTCGAAAGCGGGTGGGGTGGGGTGCGGGGCGAACCGGCCCGAAGGATGGAGCCCCTCGCTACCTCAGCCCCACCGCCTCTCGCCCCATCCCCCTCGCCATCTCCGAGCCTTCCTTCTCCCCCCCCCCGGCCTCCCCCGCCCGCTGCCTCGCTGTTTGCACCCCGCGTTGCCCGCATCCCGAAGGATAAGCAGCCTTTTCTAAATGCATCGAGTACGGCTTGCAAAGGCTCTTCCTTTTCGGTGCCCGAGGGCGCGCGAAGGTCTGGTGTTGGGGTGTGTGGGGATGGAGGAGGTCGTGATTTATGGGCGCCTTCGTCCTTTTGTATGCCTGGAGTCCTGTGCCCAGGGTGTGTATATTTGCTTGCTTGCCTACGGTTCAGCCCTTTCCCCGGAGTTAAATAGCTAACCTGGGTAACCTGGCTTGTTTGCTCAAATGCGGAGAAAAACGTGGAAGTTAAAACGCCTACTTAAAAGTCTTTGTAGGCAGGTAATTACCACAGTCTTGAAAATTGATATGCTTGGAACCCACAGGTTTTGACTTGTATTTTTTTTTTTAAATATAAAGTGGTGAGAAATTCAGGATCCTTTAAAACCTGGGGTAAGATTACTGTTGATCCTTCTGGTGAGGGTTAGGATTTCATAGGTATCGGTTTGGCCTTAAGGAGTCATAGGGGCACCTTTTTTCATCTGCCTGGCTGTGTGATGCTAGATATTTGCAGGGCTTTAACAATTTGTGGTTACCAAATGGACAACGTTGTATGAATGGCACCTACTTATTTGGTATCTTTAAATAACTGCAGTGTATTCTGATGTTTGCAGAGGGATACTATCCTGGTAACTATGCTTTGTAGGAAAAGATGCTATGTTAGGTGCCTGTGAAGTTCATAAATGTCACCAGTTAGTTATTTCCCAGAAACAGAGGCACACCTACTCGGGATGATTAAAATTCACAGCAAAATTAGTATGTATTTTAAACGAGTTTACGTCTTACTGAAAGTGGTACATTTTGTCACACAGTGCAGAAATGATCGCTGTGAAAATCGTAGTTTTAAACTTCTTTAGGTTTTCCATTGTATGAAAAAATGTTTACAATGGTCCAATATGGATGTGAACTTATTAAGAAAAGTTAGATAGAAAATCTAACTTTCCTTTCACCCCAAACTGTTTCTGATAACAAGTATTTAGCAATGTAAACAACATTTTAAACAAAACCACTGATAATGAATAATAAGAGTAGGAACAATAGGGAGATAACATGTTTTTTGCAATATTTTTTGAGTAGTATTTATATATTAACACAAGATTCCTATAATATGATTTGAATAAAGTAGGACTGAATCACTTTCAAATTCAGCTGCCATTTTATTTACAAGTAGATAGCTAGATCATTGGCTTCTAGTTACAGAAAAAAATATTTTTGAAAGCATGAAACCCCCAAAATAGGACATGGAAGAAAATCACACTCTGTATACACAAGGGAACGTTTGCAACAGTGGCGAATATCTAACTTGGGTGTAGGATGACGGTGGAGGTTCCTTCTCTGAGCCCGTGGGTTGGTTTCCCACAAGAGAATGTTGCTGAGGGATGCTATGAAACATTAGGGTATTTAAATCCCATTAATTTCATTGGAAGAGACTTTTACAGAGACCAGTGGAGCCACAAACTCCTTAGCTTAGATGAATGTTAGGCATTGTATTAATTTTTTTCATGTTGAAAATGTTTGAGCAACATTATATACTGCTCGCTTAACTTGAGATAGGTTGCATTTATATAGTTTAGATTTACTCCCCACATTACTAATGGGACTGGTATTCAAACAATTGGCTGTCTTGTCAAAGACGCTTCATGCTGTAATTTACAGGACCATTCAGTGCGAGCGTTAGCATTATGTCACTAATACTTCTTTTTTGTAGACAGTATGGATGTTACTAATACTTGCTGAGCATTCAGGGACTATATATCATTCCTACACCTATCTTATTGCTATTTCTTATAACAAAGCAGTTGTGGAAAATAACATTCTCAGTAGTAAGAACTAAGCATATAATCTGTTGCAGAAATATCACTGTTCAAAGAGCCATTTATAGTAGGAGTAACAGATCTGGTTTGCAAATATTTGGATGGCCACTAGATGGAAGGCAGGAGTTAGAATTTTTGTACCTCTTTGCTACCATCTACTGCTCCTCATCTAGATTTTTGCTGCCTAGATCCAGTAGCCCTGCTTATGCAGTATTTTATGTCAACACTGTTGGTGGATTACTTCTAAATTTTGTGTTAAATATATTAAAATGTTTTCTAAAATTCTCTTACGGTGGACTAATAAGTAACTGTATAATAATTCTTCATCTCCAATGACTGTTGAAATATAATTAACAGTTATAATGCTGAGTACAATATTTAAACTGTCCAAAATTGACAGCTTTATTTACTGTCCAAGAACTTATTTAAAACTTTCATTAGAGAAGTCTCAGCAAGTCCTAGTTGAACATACATTTGTGATGCTCCTCTGCACAAAACACATCTTATATGCACATGCAGATGTCACTATAAATAGAAACCCCTTAGGGCTATTTTTCAAACATTTGAGTTGGAAGCTGATATTATTTATATCATCTACGTACCCCATGTGTACATTTTCATGTACTGAACCCTTTAATTCCTATACTGTACATTGTTTCATCTGTATCCTTGGCTACCTTTGGGGCCAATTTTAATAGGCAATTGTGCAATATCATCCCTTATTGCTGACTTTGGATACATATGGTTTGTTATTTCTTCATTTCCTATACTTGTTACCTTGAATTCCTGCTTCCTTTATATCTTTATTTCTCCATTGTTTTAAGCAGCAGCAGCAACAACAAGGTAAAGATTTAAAGGACAAATAATTGTATTGTAACCTAAGCTGTCTCTTCCATTTACTAATTTTGGGGAATAGCTATTCATGTTCAATCCAATTATGAACAACTAATAAAGATTTATATTGCCATGTTTAGGATGGCAGTAAGTCTATAGTTGTAATACTGTAACTGTGGGGATATGGCATTAATTGAATTTTGTTCATTTTGAAACTGCAAAGAGTGAATCAGAATCAAAGAGTAGATGGAATGACTTGCAGTGCTATATAGAGGGAAGTCCAGAAATATATTAATGTCTTTTGGATGGCACTGAGAAGAATGAGCAGTGACACCTTACTTTTATCTTGGATATAAAGCGCAGTGATTTTATTCTCTATTTGCTAAAAAAAAGTTATCTGGTTCAGTTGAAGTATACTTCTCCGTTTTGCAATTTATTTGATATCTAAAATTGCAATCAAGGGCTTGTCCCTGCCTTTAAAATAGCTGAACATCTGGTTTGGTTCTTTTTTTTTTATGATTTGAAGGATGTATGCTAAGCATACTTTATCTTTTTGGGCAACAAAATAAGCTATGCTTTGCTTAGCATTAATATGCTAACTTAATGTTATAGAGTACTGTATCAGTATTATAATTCAAGTTCTTTGTTAGGCTAGCAATTATCTTGCAAGTTAAATCAAATTTTGCTTAGGGTATAGAACTGTCACTACTTTGATCACAAATGTAGATGGTCTACATTGGAAACCTGAAGAAGCTGCAGTTTTATTACCTGCGCTGGCAGATTCGATGGCCATAGCGTCTTTCTGGTCAACCTGCAGGATTAAGTTTTGGAACATTGTATTTCAATTTCACATGCTTTTTCTACTGGATTGTGGTTAGAAGGAGAGATTATCTGTTTGGCACCATGGTTTGTTTGCCTTATGGTATTCTGTAGGGCTATTTTATCTCCTGTGTTTTGTATCCCCAAATTTTAATATTTAATATTTTAAGAGCATGTTGTGGGTATACTAAGGAAAAGTTACTGTAGTATGTTTGCCCATTTGCAAAACCCTTATAAACCTATGCAGGCATTTAAGATTTACAGGAGATACAGGCATGTGGGAAAAAACATATTAACGTAAATTGCCCCCACTCAGTGGGACCTGTTTGGAATTCTGATTAGTTGCTACTCTTATTGCTTTCTGAAAGAGTGCCCAGTTGTATCTTTTTTAATGTATCCCCTAAATGGTTATTGGTTTTAATGTTTTTGTAATATATTGCCTTGCCCTACTATGTGATTATTTGAATTGAATACATTATTTTAACAATACGCAGAAAGGTGATTTAGAATGATTTTTCATGACATAAAATAAATCTGCAAGAAAGATGGGAAGCTAAAGAAGCATTTTATCTTAACTGAGCAAGAAATTCTGAAACTACAGTACCACGTGAAAAAAACAAGGAAGCTCAGAATGCTGCGAGTGATTAACTTTTTTTTAATATAGATCAACTATGCTTTGGAATGCCATCTTAATTAAGGTTCTCTTTCTAATGAAACCTGGCTATAGCAATGGAGAAAGCTTAACTCTTTATTAAGAATATGCTTGTTAGTGATTTTCCTTATGGAACTGTAGGCAATAGAACTAGGCAGAAACAATACAGTATTTTCTTGCTGAAATTAGTTCAAAAGACACATGAGAGAGTTCATGGGCAGACACATGATACATGCTTATCAGTGATACAGTTTTTCAACATTGTAAAAGATTATTGTTAACTGGTTTCTAGATCTGTTCCTTTATTATCTTGTTTTTTCCTTTGGGCTTTCAAACCAGTCTTGACCTTGGGCATGTTCCTGCATTTTTAATGGCACTTTTAATAGAGGTTTGCCATTGCCTCTTCCCTAGGGCTGAGAGAGAGAGTAACTACCTGAGGGTCACAGGCTGGTTTTTTTGCCTAAGGCACAACTAGTATACACAATCACTTGGTTCTAGCCTGGTGCCTTAACACTACTCTAAATTGTCCCTGTCTTATCATATACTGCTTTTCTTAGTTCTTGTTCAGTGTGTAGACCAGGGGTCCTTAAACTTGGCAACTTTAAGACTTGTGGACTACCATAGCTGGCTGGAGAATTC